CCATCAACAAGTGTTCGCGCAGTGCTTGTCCCAAGTTGTCAACAAGTTTGGAACAAGCTGTTAACAACTTGTAACAAGCTTGATGTCATTATCAGACTCGTGGCAAGGTTGTTCCAACAAGTTCGATACAGTCATGATATAATAGTGCTGTACAACCTTGTGTCATCAACTTTGTAACATTCTTGTTTGTCATGACTGTATCAGACTTGTTAGAACAACCTTGTAACAAGTCTGATATTACCATCAAGCTTGTTACAAGTTTTTAACAGCTTGTTCCAAACTTGTTACAACAACTGGGAACAAGCAGTGCGAAGACAACTTGTTGACAGCTTGTGAACAGATTTGTAACAATTTGTTTGCAGGCCTGTGCGTTTTTGCAGGCCTGTGCGTTTTACCCTATATTCGTCCTCGCTCTTACAACATGCCATGTGTATACGCTGTCCCGTTCCTCGATCAAGTGAACTGTACGTCATAATACTATAGTAACAAGGTTGATGAGGCCAACAGACATGCAACAAGTTTGATATTATCTGCACGTAGAAAGTTGTTAACGAGTTGATGTTATGCTTGCCAACAATAGACTATGCAAGCTCGATTCCTGCGATTGCAGGGCAGCGCTCTAAATTCACGCTCGAAAACCCTCCGATACTTTTAGCTATAAGACCCTGTTGTTAGTTCTACGTGTGTTCATTGTGACACTATGGCTTACATATTATCTTGTCTTGAATTTCACAGTGGTTTGGTAACCTCGTGACGATGAAATGGTGGGATGATCTGTGGTTGAACGAAGGATTTGCAACGTACGTGGAAAGTCTTGGTGTGAACAAATTTCAACCGGACTTGAAAATGTTGGACCAATTTGTGTTATCAAACGTTCAGAGGTCGATGCATCTTGATCAACTGGCTAATTCACATCCTATATCTGTCGTGGTTGAGAATCCTAATGAAATTTCTGGTTTGTTTGATGATATCTCTTATCACAAAGTGAGTAGTGTATTCCAACATTTCAAACTCATTAATAGACAACTTGCATGTTAGACTAATTTTTGATTTAGACAAAAAAAGTAAATTCCCGTAAAGAACGTATTAAAATTGCAAAATTTGGTTACGAAATGTTGTAAATTTCGGCCTTACATATATAGCCTTGCGAAAAATATAGCCTTGCGAAGTTTGCATATTTTGTATAAGTTTGTATTACGTGCGGAAATTGTTACCACTTTTTAGCCGAAAATGGTTACAGTTTCCGCACGTAATACAAACATATACAAAATTTGCAAACTTTGCAAGGCTATATTTTCCAAGCTTTACAACATTTCGCAACCAAATTTCGCACTGTTACTAATCTCATTTTGTTCTTTTTAGCTGTGGTGGTTGATTCCCTTCTCTTTACTTAGATTAAAATTTAATCATGCAAGTTTTCCATTGTTCATGATGAAATTGGACAACACTGTTGCCTTATTGTGCTTCAGTGATAACACTTGATGAGGCGTATACCGACCCAATCTTTTATTGGACTGGATCAAAATTTATTCATTCCTGGGACCATGCCTTTTTTCCAAGTAATCCAGAGCTGGTTTGGGAGGAAACATTTTGAGCAGTTGGGCCTGAGAAAGTCAATTTTGGCATTAAGAAACCTAACTGAGAGCTTGGATCCCAACATCTGCATGACACCCTTACCTGGGAGTGGATCAGACTAGATGGGATTTCAAGTTATCACAGTTAGCTCCAGTCCTCAGCAATGAAGTCCCCTCCTCAGCAATGAAGTCCCCTCTCCCTAACTGTTTAAAAGATGTTTGTGATGTTACTGTAAGTGAACTCTGAGTTTTATAACAAACGTACTTGCAGGGAGGTGAGTCCGGGATTGGACGCACCGAGGGTGGCTGGAAGTTTCCCGAACTTACCGAGCGAAGCGAGGTGAGTTCGGGAAACTTCCAGCCACCCGAGGTGCGTCCAATCCCGGACTCACCGAACCTGCAAGTACGTTTGGTTTTTATCCCATACACCGAGCCATACACACATTTGTAGTCTTTGTAGCTGTTCGCGATATATTCGTCGATGTTTTGTGAACATTTTCCAGGCCAAAAAAATCATTGGGCAAGAAAATACTTCTTTATCTACGTCTTCATAACCTTTACTGCATTTTTTCTTTGGTTTTTCTTCAGTCTCGGTATGTTAGTCACTGAAAAAAGTTCTTTAAAGTTTAGGTTTATCGGCTAAATCTTGTCCGCCATATTTGTTATTGTTATTGCAACGTAAGCAGTTTAGCGGGTGAGTTCGGGCGAAAAGCAGGTGAGTTCGGCAAAAAGCAGGTGAGCTCGACGACAAGCTCACCTGCTCTAAACCAATCAGAACGCCGCTTTTAACACAGGTATGGGATAAGCATCCTGACCGGGCAAGCTCAAGAGTTTGCCTGACCACGGTGGGAAGCGAACGCGCGACCTTTGGGATACTAGTCCAATGCTCTACCAACTGAGCTACGAGCTCAGTTGGCAGAGCATTGGATTAGTATCCCAAAGGTCGCGGGTTCGATTCCCACCGTGGTCAGGCAAACTCTTGAGCTTGCCCGGTGTGGATGCAAACTCAGAGTAACACCACAAACATCATATTCACCTGAGTACATGACACTAACACACACAAAAAATCACCTTTATTTAAAAGAAGCCCCCCCCCCTTCTAATCTTCGCTTATATGAATGTCTCGCTAGGAAGAAAATACATTTTCCAACACACAGTACGTCTATAAATTACTTTCTCTTGTGTATGATCAACAAGTTTTCCTTAATTGACAAGTTTTGTTGCACGGAATGTCAAACATTTATCTTCCTTTTTTGTCAAAACCATAGAAGTATTTCTTGTACATTTGTTAAGTTATCCTTGGCGGCCCTACACACGAACAAATTTTCCTTGTCCAAAAGCCGGCAAAATTGTCAATTTTTTGCCGTACACCCGAGCAAATAAAATTACGAGGCTTAAGAGCCAGTCAAGGTGAACATTGTGTGAACCCCTTGCCCCCCCCCCCCTTTCCACCCCATCCTAGGATGTAAATAATGAACGGTTTCTTAAGTGTAATCAATATTAATATAGGGTGCCTCTCTGATCAATATGTTGAGCAATGTCCTGAAAGAGAAGAATTTTCTTGCTGGTCTGAGGTCTTATCTTAGAAAGTATAAATTTAGTAACGCCGCAACTGATGATCTCTGGCATTCTCTTTCCAAGGTATGACTGTCTTTTAAAAACTAAAAAGGGATTGTACTTCTTCATTTTATGTTGCATGTTGTATGTGTACTGTCATTTTAAGTCACTGATTTAAAAACCCAGGCAGGTTTGAGAGGGTCTCTTTTAACATATTTATGCTGGGGGACCAAGTCCCCCCAACCCTCTCGTTGACCCCTCCAGTAAACCATGCATGTTGCCCCCGAGTGCATGTGTATTGTCAGAAAGAGTGTTTTGACATTCCCATGACCAAACCATTATCCATATAAAAAAGTTCTGTCTGAAAATGCACACTGTATAAAATAGCGATTAGCGGAACTTCTACTAACAGCGCGGTCGATTTCTTGAAACACTTTAATTCATTTGTGAGCTCACGTTAAATATCATAGTTAAATATGTAAACTTGTCGAGGTACAACCATATTTAATATGCTGTACAAGTAAATTTACTGTACTGTGCTACACTACAGCAACTGTCCAGTCACGCGTGGGCTTGAACTTCGAAGTAGAGAAAAATATGGCCAGTCCAAAATGTTTTGGCAGGTGAAATAAATTTTCAGCCTGCCATTTTTAGTGCAGAGTTTCTTTGAAACTGTGCACTATTGTGATGAGTGGCGAAAATTCACATCTGTCATACATCAGATATCATAGAGTAAACTTTCCGGGGGGTGTATACGATTTATCGTCGTGGTAATTTATTCTACTTAGTCAGTGCTTTGAAGGTTATTTAGGCAATTTCAGTTGTCTTATTTAAATACTTATTTTGTCCTTTTGCCAAGTTCACAAAAATTTCCAGGAATTGTTGTTATTGCAAATTTTTGTCAATTTTATAACATTTGCTTCTTCGTGTTGTGTGAAAGATCTTTCCCCCGGAACACCCATTTTTTCTTTAGCAGCGCAAATGCGCATGTGCTATCAAGCTGTAGATCACGATGGCGTGACGAATGACGATGCTAGGAAGGAGCGACACTGCCGAACAGTGTTGTTTTCAAATTATAAACATTTTTATAGACGTGAATATCGAGTAAATCTTTGAGAATCTACGCAATATATAAATTGATGTTATGACTTATGCATTATGGGCATTCAATTAAGTACCGATATTATTTTGACGGTATATTCAATTTCAATATACAAAGCTAGGAAGCAGCGAGACAGTGTTGTTTTGTCTTTTGAAATGTATGAACATTTCAGGCATGAATATTGAGAAAATCTTTGAGATTCTACGCAATATATAAATTGATGTTTTGCATTACGGGCATTCAATTAAGTGCCGACGGTATATTCATTATACAAAGCTAGGAAGCAGCGAGACCGTGTTTTCAAATGTATAAACATTTCAGACATAAATATTGAGAAAATCTTTGTTTACGTGTATAGCACAACGGTGCAAACTCGTGTTCAGTGCAACGAAAACTCTACCAGATCTTACGAGAATCTATCTGTATCAAAGCTTGTCAAAACTGCTATATAAACACTGCAATAACTGTGAAACTATTGAAATCTAAAGTTACATTATTGAATACATGCGAAAAGCTGAAAATGACTCATGAAACAACAACGTGACCTTCGAAATATATCAAAGGTCAATGAGACTTGTTATTGTGAAAACACGTCATAATTAGATTAAAATGCGGAAAGCGGATGCGGATTCACGGAACGGATATGGGGATAAAATGCGGATGAAATGCGTCATTTTAATGAGTTTTCGCCTCTTATTTACGTTTCTGTGTTTTAGATTTGTGTTCCTTTTTTGTAATGGAATACAACGTCGTAGTGCTTATTATTCATAACATATCTTATACAGCTATTTTCTCAAGTTGTCACTGAGACGATAGCCAAATGGGCGCTAAAAGGATGGTGGGAATAATCACAGATTTAAAAAGTCACCTAGGTTGCCGGCGACCCTATATAGTGTCGTTTTCAATTGGAAACTTTACAACATTATAACAGAAATTATGCCTTGTGACTAATATTATATGAGGAAATAAATAATATTACATAACTCTCGTCATTCTTTAATCTTAAAGTATTAGATTTAAACCATATCGACATGTGATTAAAGCTATAAACCACGCTTGAAAAAACTATTCAATTAATAAGTATGTCAATATAGCGTTCGTCTTTGAAACTCTGCACTATCCTTGGATCCCTAGTTATTCATTGAACTGCCAAAATGGCGAGGTCTGATATATGAGTCATATTGTAAAAATCGATGTTTTCATGATATGCATTTTTATTAGTTTTAAACTTGTCTATTTTACTACAGTAAACTTGGATTTACATTTCAAATATAAACGTATTTAGTTAACTAAATGATCTTAGACTAATATATATGAGTTGTGGTAAGCAAATAAAATGAAATGAATTATGTCTATAGAATTTCACCTACCATTTCTTTTTTGACGTAGCAGTTCAAAGTTCTTTTTGCCTGCCATTTCTAAAATATGACCTGCTTTTGGCCATTGGCAGCCCGCTTTTTCGAGATGATGGGGTTCAAATATATATATATATATATATATATATATATATATATATATATATATATATATATATATATATATATATATATATATATATATATATATATATTCGTTGTATAATTGTACGTATTTCCCCATGTAGGGTGCAGGTATTAACGTGAAGAAAGTTATGGATACGTGGACACTTCAAATGGGTTTTCCTTTAGTTACGATTACGAAGGAGGAGGGCAAATATTTTGCCAAGCAAGAGCATTTTCTGGTTAATCCAGATGCCAAACCAGCTTTGAAGTCACCATACAAGTACGTATTTTTTATGTTTGGGCTATTGTACATTAATATAGTTCACGCGTTACGGCGCGTAATCGATCTACTGTATAATCGACTTGTGTATGTTAGAGCTGCTACTATCGGTTCACTTTCGTAATCAGTTAACCGTTACCAACAGTGGATAAACATCGATTAATCGAATTAGCCAGGCTTTTAGCCAGGGTCCTGAAAGAGGGCGTCCAATTTTGGAAAAACGAGATAAACAAGCAGTAAGGTGTGGGTGTGTCGAGTAAACGTTCCTCTGGAAAACCTTTGAAGTTTACGTTACTTCAGGTCAGTATCTGTTCCAAGTTCGTTCGAAATTTTTCAAACACACTTGGCTTTGTGAGTTTGTGCCCCTTCTTTACTTAACTACGACATTTTCATTCAGCCAGGTACACCATCAAATTGATCAAAATGTCAAATGTATAATAATAATGAGAACTGAAGCTAATTCGTTTCGGATATATTAATATACTTAGGGAAATCATTGAACATAACTACCCTTTTCCCCCAGAATTTGGGCGTCCAAGGGCGTCCACATTTCGTTCTGGGGCGTCCCAGGACGCCCTTCTGGCTAAAAGCCTGGCCAGAGGGCTTATAGTTGCCTTTTTTGCAGTTGCTTCTGGTTAGCAGGCCTTAAAATATTGGTCGGTCACGGACATTGTCCGACCCATGCATTCGTGAAATTGTCCGACGTAGAGAGAAAACCACCGGACATTCTGTCCGACCTACGTGAAACTGAGGTTTATTGTTTGTCCGACCCGAGTGAATTGGTGTCCGACCTAACTGTAACTTTGTCCGACGTCCTACCCTAGTCCAGGACTAGAGGCTCGTATGTAGTCCAGGACTAGAGGCTCGTATGTTAAATGGAGAATCAGAGTAATGTATATATAAAAAGTGAACTGGAAATGTGTAATCAAGTGCGGGGTTTTCACTGTTTTCCAAATTTGTCTGATATTAATTTGTGTCTGCATAATTCATTTTCACACAAACGTTTCATAACCTGCCTGGGTAACAGGCTGAGCTGTATTATATAAGGGGTTTCGAAAACACTAAAACAGGTGGCAAGGGATGCTGTCTGAACTGCGATCGACTGAATGTTGTACTGTAGTTAATATTTCGCCGTAACAATGTCATAATGTGTGAATTTTTTAGTTACAAATGGCATATACCGTTGACATACTATACAGATCAAACCAATGCGGTTATCGACCCAATATGGATGCCACAAGAGGATAGTAAGTGTTTTAGATCTCTAGACATAGTCTATCAAGAAACTAAACAGACGTCATTGTGTTGTGTTTTTGTTTGAATCTATTTGTGCACGGTCATGCAAGTGATTGATTTGATCGTGTTTTCGTATAAGGGACCGGTCATAAAGTAACTGCTAGGGTGGGCTGGAGTGATTTAGGATGGGCCATGGAAAATCTTTGGGTAGTTTCGATGGGCCGCCAATTTTTTGGTATGTCCACGGTTGGGCCATCAAACAAAAACCCATGTTAATTATATATTACATAAAGATATTAATAATAAAAGTAAACAAGACTATCCAAATTATCAAATGCAAATGATGCTATTGAAGCCAGTACTTTGTTTTATACTGTACAACAACAAGAAGTGGTCGAATCACAGCAAACACAACCAACTGGAGAGCAGCTCAGTATCGTAATTGGTGATGAATGTGTTGGTCAAGCTCGGTGGAATTACGTATGTCAATACAGTGCCGGTGTATATTTACAATGTTCATACCTGCAAGTTTTTTTTATTATAAAATTGTATTTTCCCAATTTAGATTGGGTGGGTGGGTCACGAAATAAATTTGGTAAGATTAGATGGGCTTTGAAATTTTTATCTACATCCTAAGATGGGTCACCAAACTTATTGGCAAAATTTGTGATTTACCTCCAGCCCACCCTAGCAGTTACTTTATGACCAGTCCCGTCCCTAATGAAGTAATCGTCCAATAAGGATAGTTGAGATGAAACGTGCAACAACGATGAATAATATTATTGAGGTTGTGCACGGTGAGGAACAATTCAACATGAGACAAAGGTCTTCTATTTTGTGGCTTTGAAGTTTGCTGGGTTTCCAAACCATCATATCTTGACAAGACTACATGCATGTACTGTATATGCTGTAGATTATAGTTTTGAGGAAGTTGCCAATGATTTTTAGAGTTGTTTGAATAGCTCATCCCATTGCTTTCACAATTAATGACATGAGGACGAAGACATACTTGACAATTCTTGCCCTTCTGAGTTTGGGCTCACTGGTCGTTACTCAACGTGTCTTCCTGTTATAGATTCATGTCTCGATGTTTAAGAATACTGTCCCTGATCCAGCCTAGACCTAGGCATTCTTCTCTACGCCTAGAAAATCGGGGTTTTTATCATAAAGTTTGAAGCAACACTATTATTATGTTGCGAATTAGGTCAAAATGAGTCGAAATATTACTACAAAATAGAACTTAGTTCAGTCATAAAATGTTTTTATAGTTAATTTAATAACTACTGGACCGTATAAATTGCTTTAGTTGTTGGTTTCTGAATAATTTCGGATCACAAAGTTATGGGGCTAATTTGAGAACTTGTGAAATCTACTAGGCCTTTGCGAGGCAAATGACCATTGCGATAATTACCAGCCGAGTATAAAAGGCCTAGGTCTAGGCTGACCCTGACAAAATAGTGACACATGAAACTATATCCTGTCTTCTGCCTTCTTTTAGAACGAAGTTCACGACGAATTTTTCCAAAATATTCGTTCTGAAATTTGACACTAATTTGATTACAATTGGTCTGGTAGAAACAATGTTATCGCTGTTTAAGTAAGAGGTCATCAAACCTTTTCATGGTCCACAAATTTTAATAATCCTAGTGTCAAAATTTATCTATTTGTTTGAGTTTTAATGCCTACTAATATAAGCGTTAGCTATTATAATTAAAGTCGACACCATGATTTTAAATTTTATGTTTAAATGGACAATTGATCGTTTATAGTTGCCCTTGATATTACCGTAAATGACAATGGATGGTTGAAACTTAATCCCAATCAGACTGGATATTATCGTGTGAATTATCCAATTGAAAACTGGAAGAATCTAGCCAAAACTTTGCAGTACGACCACCAGGTATTATATATAGCATGGAGTTTTACTAGAATGTTGATAATTAGTTTTGCACTTCTGTTTTACACTGATAGCTCCAACTATTGTGTGGAAAAATTCTGCAAAAGATATTGCGGAAAGCTGTACAGTACTTAAAGCCCCGTACGTACAGAAGGGCAATTTTTCCTTGACAAGTTTTATTTGCTCTTGTGAAGGGCAAAACATTGACAATTTTTCCTTTCCATGCAAGGAGCCTTGTTCCAGAGCTAGTTATCTTACCTTTGGACATGAAGAAAATTTGTTCGTGTGTACGGCCGGCAAGAAAAACTTCATAGATATCTTATATACACTAGATAGTGCATCTAATTATTCTGTAATTCAAAAATTGAAGCCGTGATTGCAGACTCAGGATATTCCCATGAAATGAGAAGACTAGTATGTTTTCTATTTCTTAAACAGTGGACTTAAACATTAAGTTAAACCTATTCCAAATACGTTTTCAAACTATTGAAATCATTATGAAAGTTGTTGTTGTTTTTTAAGCGTTTATTAGCGAGCGGGAAACTCCAACATGGCTGCCATCTATTCAAATGGGGGTAACCGCTGGAATATTCTTGGCTTCAATTTTACTAAAAGAGATGCGCTATCTAGTGTATACAGCTATTTCAATTAAGGTTGTCCACGAGCGAAGCGGAAAAGTCGAATACGAGCGCGAAAGGCTGCTGGGAATCGCTAATAAATGAACGAATTTATTAGCGATTCCCAAGCAGCCTTTCGCGCTCGTATCCGACTTTTCCGCCTTGCTTGGGGGACAACCTTAATTGAAATAGCTGTATACAAACTAAGTAAGAAAGAGACAACGAACTAAGAAAAAGAATGAAAGAAAAACGACAGAAAACACAGCATTCAGAAATATAAAATCCTTGTTTTACTTTCAGAGACTTTCACCATCGGACAGAGCTGGTTTACTGGATGATGTTTTCGCATTAGCAAGGTAAGTGCAGCCTTCTGTTGAATGAAAATACAGAATTTCTTGCAAAGTCCTTAATGATTGAAATTTAATAAAATTTTAGTAGTAAAATTTGCTTGTCCCTCTTCTTTCCAGAGCTGGAAAAGTGAACTATACAACAGCTCTAGATATGAGTTTGTATTTAAACAAAGAAAAAGACTATGTCCCGTGGCGTGCAGCGACCTCAGCTTTATCTTACATCGGCGCAAGACTTTCTATGACTCCAAATTATGGATTATATCAGGTGAACTTTCTGTAGCTCCGTTGTTGTTGTTGTTGTTGTTGTTGTTGTTGTTGTTGTTGTTGTTGTTGTTGTTGTTGTTGTTGTTGTTGTTGTTGTTGTTGTTGTTGTTGTTGTTGTTGTTGTTGTTGTTGTTGTTGTTGTTGTTGTTGTTGGTTGTTGTTGTTGTTGTTGTTGTTGTTGTTGTTGTTGTTGTTGTTGTTGTTGTTGTTGTTGTTGTTGTTGTTGTTG